CTGTCTTTCATGTCTATTGTCGATAGAATAGTAATAATAAAGTGCATTAAAGGGAGGAAGAAATAGGAAGAAATAAGCCTGACATCATGGACCATTTTCTAATCACGAAGTTAGCAAAGCACCGACAAGGTATTCAAGGGAGATTGTGTCATTTCCCTCCAGCTGGAGTTTTAAAGGACAGGTCAGACCTATCTGTCAGAATTGAGTTAATCTGGCTTTTACAGCAGGTGATGGACTTCTCCGGCTGCCATCCAGGCTGAGCTCCTACAGAGCAGAGCAGAGGAGGACACGGGGAGAGGCAGCCTTCCCCTTCCCCTTCCCGGGGGGCGGTGGGGGGCACCCACAGAGGTGGCCAAGGGGACAAGGCCCGGGTGTTACCCCAACGGGTGGCATTAGGAGGCTGGTGTGACACTGGGGGCTCTGTGTTCAGCCCCACGTGGTGGTTCCACCCGCTCTCCCATTAAGTGGGGCTTCACAGTTGGCTGCATGTGCCCCCCCCAGCCCCTTAACAGGGGACCCGGAGGAAGGGGCTTCCCCTGGGGAACTAAACTTAGTGCTCACAGGAGGGTGATGGGATGGGGCACCCCTGTGAGTTTCAGAGATCAGTCTTGAGGCCTTGCTTCAGAAAAACTGTGTCCAGTTCCATGAGTGTGGCCACCAGACTGCTCTTCTGCTGAGGTCAACGAGATGGGGACGAGCCAGCCCCAGGTCCCTGGTCCCACAGTGCATCTGCTGCCCAGAGAACCCCATCTGACTTTCCTGGAACAGTCTATTCCAACAGATAAAAAACATTCTTCGTACCCTCAAGGGGGACGTCAAAATTTCTGAAATCCCATATAACATGATTAAAGGTAATTCTGCACCTTGCAGCCTCAGGGCTTTTAAAATAAACCAAATGGGTATTTGGCAGGATTTGGCTAAATGAATCTGTAAGAAAGCAGAGTGGCAAGTAATGTGACATCTGCTGTTGGCATTAGCTCAGTGCAGATGCTGCCGCCTTTAGATCTCCTAACCCTGCCTGAACCAGAGATTTTTAACTCGGACAAAACTCTGGGATGAGAAAATCATCCTGAATGTAAATGTTTCCATCTGTGATTCAACAAAGCAGCCACTCGACCAGCAGCGCCTTGCCAAGACACTGGGTTATCTTTTCCTATTGACAATTAACATGTGAACTACCCACTAGCACAATCAGGAGATTGACTTATATTAATAAAGTGAAGATTAAATACAGAAAAAGTCACCAAACTCAGCCTGTAGTGTTCGTCTTGATGCTACAATATGAGCTTCAGCTTTCTCGGGTAATCGAACAAGAAGAGGTTAAAACATTAAGTTCTTAAAACAGATTTTCCTTTCTGCAGATTACATCCTTCACTAAAACAAAAGTCCTCTATGAAGGTACTTTTCAGACTCTACGTTTCTGAGGTAAGGGGCTGGCATCGACCTACCCCCCCAGGGAAGGGGCTGGCATCAACCTACCCCCCCAGGGAAGGGGCTGGCATCAACCTACCAACATGGAAGTTCTTTTCCCTGTGGATGCAGCTCGTCTGAGCACAGGCTTGGGAGGCTGAGCATCACTCTGGGACGCTGCCTGGAGCAGAGGTACGAGCCAAGCGTCCCACCCTGTGGGGTTTACTTGTGGATGAGGATATTCTGAGCTCGGGAGGCTGAGCATCACCCTGGGACACTGGCTGGGGCAGAGGTACGAGCCAAGTGTCCCACCCTGTGGGGTTTACTTGTGGATGAGGATATTCACCCAGATTTGCCTCACACAGTTATTGGCCAAGTCTTCATCTTGTTGACTCAGCTAAGTCTCTGGTGGAGCTAAACGGGAATTTTGCCTGAAAAAGAACTGTGAAAATAAATTCTTTCAATTCTTGGAGGGATGCTATTTAATTAAATTCTAAAAGTCTAGCAAAGGAAGAATGTGTCAGCTTACAGGGCCAGAAGTGCTACAACACAGCAGGGTCCACACTGGGGAAGAGCTTCCCCGTCTGTGTCACCCAGCAGCTGGACAGGCAGTGAATTACCCAGGGAAAAATCATTTTATGTGCTTTTGGACTGCGTACAGAAAGTGAAGAGACTTCCTGGTAATGTGAAGAAAGAAAGAAAGAAAAAAAAAAGGTGGTCAGAAATGTTCCAGCTTTGTACAAAGAATGAGGCAGCAAAAGTTTCCCGTTGCCAGGAGGGCGACCCAGCTCCCCCAGCATCTCCAGTAATTTGGCAGGTCCTAACGTGGCTCCTAAAAAACATAAACTTCTAAACACTGGTGTGGACAGGACTAGAGCAGCGTTAGTGCATTAGTGAGTGACTCCCTCCTTGCACCACGAAGCCCGTGCCCCACTGCAGCCACCGGTGCCTCCAAGAGCGAGAGCCCCAGTTCCTCTGCGCAAGGATTGTCCACCACATCCTGGTGCTGACTCCTGGAGACAAGCCTAAGGGCATCCCTGCTCCTTATTCCAGACCCAAAGGAAGGGTCTGTGCAGGAACCCCCCCAGAGCCCTCACCTCCAGGCAGAGGAGGTACCTGTGGAGAGAAGGCAGCGCAGGGCCGGAGCCTCGCGGGGCACATCACTGGGGGTGCTGCCCCACGGACACAGGATGCTCCTCCCCAGCCCCACGGACGGAGGAACAGCCAGCTCCACACAAAATCCCAAATTGTCCCCACCCTCTGTGGCTTCCCAAGGTACCCGTCCAGCACTGAACAAGTCACAGCCCCCCAGGGACAGACACCAACCCCCATCCACAGACGAAAGGCGTAAGAGCATGAAAAAACCATGCTTTTTAGTAAAGGCCACACCATGTAATTTGTTGGTATTTACAGAAATGTTGCCTGTGGAAACAAACTGAACTGCAGCCTCAGCTGCCCCGCCGCAAAACAAACTCACTGTCAAAACATCCACAAACTGGGACAAGAAATGGACAAACTGGGAAAGGTGACTTTCAACTTCTGTGGAATAGGAAGTAGTTTCAAAACTGAGTGTGGTAACAAAAGTGGCTTTAAAAAAGCAACACCAGAATTCGTATTTGAGTGCTTTAAGCTGAGTAACATAAAATGTCAAGAGACAGCACAGGACAGAAGCGAGTAATGTCAGTATTTCATCTGAAAACTAGATGAGAATATTGATGTCAACAGACTGTGGTGGAGAGTTCAGATTTAGAGTCAAAAGAAAAAAGTCCTACTAAATATGAGAGGCGACTGTGGGAGTAAAGACTCACAGCATCCAGGCTTGTCATTCTGCGCGATGGCGAGATACACGGGCTGAAACCTAACTAAAATTGAAGCAAGATCTAGGACAAAACATTGTTACAGAAAATCAATGGAATTGATTTTGGAAAGGCAATAAACACAGTCAATGGAATCACATTAATTAAAGTACCAGAAATTTGGGATTTTTAAGACAACCAGTCTAGACACAACGCTGTGGTTTTATGAAGTCCTCCGTGAATTGACGCGTTTGACCTTCTACTCCCCCCGCTCCTCTCCTGCCCCCAGAGACCAGTCACAAATTCACTGCTCAGTTCTGTGTGAACTGTGGAACCCAAAACACTCCTGAAACTCAAACCTCCCTGCTCAGGAGGAGGTGTGACGTCCTCTGCTGCTGGAGCAGGGACTTTGTGAACATATCTATCAAATAAATACCTTTTCCTACAGGCTTTCCCAAGGCGGCAGCTGCAGGGCCAGTGGTACACCGAGACAAGCTCATTTCAATGTTTTTCCTGTGCTCTTAGTTTGCTCCTGCTGTGGGGAGAGAAAAGGTTATTTATAGCAGTTTAACATGAGTGATCCCCCCGGAGCTACAGAACCAGCACAAGCTGTAAGAAATTAACCACATTCACACACGCTTCACAAAAATACAATATTTCACTATGAGAACCCGATGTGCCCAAGAAAGTATAGGAGCTTTCATACATACTAGAACAATTCTGTATTTAATTAGGCCTCATTAGTAAAGGTAATCACTGTAATTTATTTGCACAAATACAGGACATTGTGCTCCATCAGCAGGTAATGTTCTTCATTAAAAAGAGTAAGAACTTTGTGCGCTGGGGCAGACGTGGTCTAATCCACAGACATCACAATTACAGAGTAAAACACTGTGCTAAATAAAAAAAAAAAATATTCCACTCACCACTTTTATTTAGGATGATAATTTGTAGTAACATACCAAAGGAGAAAATTATCTGGGCTCTTGAATTTGCTTCTGGAAAGAAATTGAGTTTTAATCTGAGTTGTAAAGCTCCCTGCAGCAGCCAGGCAGGGCACACACCACGCGCAGCCGCGCTCTGCAAGGTTTTACACTCCTGACACGTCCCCAGCTCCCGGTGACACAGCCAGGAAAGGACCTTGTTGGTAACTTGTAGTGGCACGAGAAAGGCATTCTTAGGAGAATGTGCAAAACTATGGGAAGAGAGTACAAAACTGTGTGCTGAGCCTTGGAAACGACCCGTCCTCTGCTCTGGAGACACACTCGCACCCCGAGTCTCGGCAGAAGGGGGAACACACAGTGGCTGCACAGGGACCAGCTCTGGTGGCTGTGAACAGATCACCCCACGGACAGGACAGACAGACGTCACACTGACACCTGCAGTGCATTCCCCTGCATCAAATCCCTTGGGTTAAATTGCTGAAGAAACAGTAGTTATAACATAGCACTTTGTTAGAGCTTCTTAACTTCCAAGGTGGGGGCACAGAATTACTATCTACGTAACCAACCTCCCCCTCCCAGCATGAATTAAAATCTTTTTCTTACTTATTTTAAGAATTAGCAAGAGCTTCTGTGAAGAGCAACCAGTTTTGCTTTCCCACTTCTCACACTTCTTGTGACTAACATCACAGACGAGACTACACTTCTCAGGGAAGATCAAGCATCTGCAACTGAAGCAAATACCAAATGCAGCAGCTGAATAGCTTCAAATATGATTTTGCTTCAATATTGAAGTTTCTGATTTAGTAACTGAATTCCTCTAAAAAAGAAAGATTAGAAAAATCAAAACAACTTTTTCAAAATTTAAGGAAAATTTAATCAATATGCCTTAAATTATTTTACAGTAACTACAATACTGACAAGCATAACATCTTCAAAATGGTGTTTCTCTTGGAAGTACTGCAAAAGAGATTACTCCTCATCTACTTGTATGTGCACCATTAGGAAAAGAAACTCTAGTTGAAGTCACCTTCAGAAATCCATGTTAACGTGGAGCTACTCAGACATCCACATGTATTTGCATTTCAAGTGTGACAGAATTACAGATCCCTTTAAGCATCTGTTTTCTACTTTGTAATTTAAGTATCTTAAATCCTGAATTACTATCACATCAAATGAACAAATGAATGAGACCAAAGAGCTCAAGAGTATATTTGTGTTCATTTGTGCATTTTGCTTTTGGTAAGAGGGGATGGGAAATAGGTTCCTCAATACTGCAGATTTATTCAAAAAGTACCCGATTCTGCGGCATCTGCAGATCTGTTAACTTCTTCGATTTATAACTGCAACCATACTCCCTCCCTCACTCCCATTTAAAAACAAAAACAAAACAAAGAAAGGAAAAACAAAACAAAAAACACAACCCTCAGATAAACAACCAAAAGTTACTTTTCTAAAGATAGAGGAATGGGAAAGAAATGACATTAACTTGATAAGCATGAACACTTATTAAAGCTATAGACACCTCGGGTCAATTGGAAACAGTATTCAAAGTCCTAAAAAAGAGAACACGAGACATTTGTTTTCATTGTTCCAGCTGATTCAAAACGGGTCTAGGTTTGGTGACAGCAACACTACACAGTCATCTCTGGCTGCTTCTGGTCCAGCTCAACGTCCCAAGGGGATGGTTCCATTTTGGCCCAGTAGAGTCCAGGAGTCTGGACAGTCTGCTCAGAAGATGGAAATGAGAGCGAAGACTCCGTACAGTAACGCGCAGGGATACGCCACCAGGAGCTGTTGTCCTTCCATTGCTAAGGCAGAAATAAAGATTTTGGAAGCAGAGAAGCTGCACCAGCCGATGATTCCAGCCGTGAGAATTATCCCCATCATTCCCCTGCAAACACAGAAACAAAAAGAGAATTCACCTAAGACTTGTGTATATATACTCATAGGAGTCGTAACTGGATTCCTTCTAACACTTTTACAGATTCCAAGATGAAAATTAGCTTTTATATAGTTTTAGCTTTTTAAATAGTTCCAGTAAAGACTTCACAACAATATTATTCATTTATGACAGCACACAAAAACCCCCAAAATTAACTTTGTGCACATAAACGAAGAAGCGGTGAGTAAAGGAACTGCAGCAAGTTCTTTCTTTTCAGTCCCCAACTTCTTATAGCTATGAGGAATCACACTTATTTTCTTCCACTTGTCAAATTAAAGTTTGCATCTTAAATTATAATTACTTTTAGACTTTACAGGCACTAAGATCTGTCAGATTCAAAGCTGACTGAAAATAGACTTGATACTGTTATTTGAGTCTATGTATTTAAACGCTGGTAACTGAGGTACAGATAAACCAGCATCCACCTGTCCTTCAGCCACTAAACACCTGAAGAGGATATTTATGGTTTTATCCTTATTACAAATTCCTGTCACATTCACATTATACGCAGTTTCATCACCAAAGAAGAAAATTCCTTTTAACGACCTCCTTCACCATTTCAGAGGAGAGGAATCCATTCCCAAATGACAAAGTTTCTGTACTTACTGCAAGGAGAAGACAATAGCGAAGGTGGAGAGCAGGATCATGGGAAGCAGGCAGTAGCCCAGGACACTGGCCACGCAGCCGAAGGAGACGCCCGTCATGCTCATTAAGTTCAGGAGACAAAACATCCCTAAACATCCGATTGCACTTATGCCATACACATATCCAAACTGGATTTTTCCAGCCTGAAAGCCAAGCAGAGTAACACATGTTAATTACCAGAACGAGTAACGCCTCCCACAGACACGGGGATAAGGAAAGAGCATTTACAGAGGATCTTCCATTTCTCCACTGTCCCTCACCCCCAGTCCCTATGCTCTTCCCACAACCTGAACTCCAGGACGCCCGTACACCCTAGGCACTCAGGAGGCACATCTACCCTAACTCTGGGTACCTCCATAAACAGATTTTGATCAAATTGTTATTCTTTCATCTGGGCTGCAAAAGCCTATAAATTCTTTAGGGTTTAATCAACTAACTTCTCACGCCAACTGAAAAAAAAAATTGTAATTCAGGAACTTCTTGACTAATCCAGAGCTAAGTCCTTTAATTTGCAATAGACCCCACAAAGTTATAGCACAATGTAAATTATAAAAAATGACAGCTCAGCTTCAGCTAGTTCTGGGGAAGCACTGAGTATGAGCAGCAGAATGAACTCATGGAGATTTTTAAAAGTCAAATCAGAACTTTGCAGAAAGCACATGTGCATTCAAAACATATAAATCCCATGTCACGATCTGTTTTTCCAAGGCTGAGGTGGATGTAACACCCACCAAAGCACACAGTGTCCCCCCCTGCAGTGACACAGGGCCACAGTGACCGACACTCGATGGTGCCCAGTTCCCAGCTCTGTCTCTCACTCACAGCTCCCAAACAAAGTGAATTATAGCCCAGCTCTCTTCTTCCTCACGTGCTACAGAAAGCAATCATACCTGCTTTCCTCTCCTTGCCAGGTTAGACTTGTTTTCTCTCACTACAGTCAATGTATTTTAGAAAAAAAAAAAGAACACAGAAGAAAGTGCTAATTTCTTATGAAAAGAACATCCCAAAGTATCTATTATAAACATGTTCATTACTTCTACTGGCCTATTTTCCATAAATTAAGGTTACTTATTAAATTAGGCTTAAAGTGCCCTTGGTACCAAAACACTGCGTTCTAAGAGTCGTGGCAATGTGAAATTTTAGGCAAAAATTAAATGCAGAGCCTGAAGACATTTAGAGCAAAAAACTGATTAAAAATATTGAAGTGTTCAATGACAAGGAAGGCTGTTTGCTGCTGCTCTCTCATTTCATAATTGACACTTTTCAGACATTAAAGCACAATCTGATTTCAATTAAGCTCAAATAAAAAAACACCCACCAGGCCTCAAGAGCTAGTGACCTATTAAGGAGTATAAACAATATAAAAGCAGGTTTATTTTAGAAGTGTTTTACCAGACCAACTCTTGATACTGAAAGTCAGGCCTAATGTACCAGTACTTAGGAAATCACTTTTTTACACAACAATTTGGAGTTCCTTGCCTCTTGAATAGTAGTACAGAACAACAAATAAAGAGTATTGGACGAAGAAATACAATGAAACAAAACAGAGAAATAGACTCAAATATTAAACTATTAAACACAGCAAGAGATAAAAAAATACACCCCCCCCAAATGAAGAAATTAAATAAATATTCAAGTATTTAATGTATCCATTGATCTGATGCCCGATAAAACAGACGATAACAGAGACGCTGCAAAAAGACAATTACAATTTGGAAAGAAAACCACATCAATCCCTTAAAAAAAAAAAAAAAAGTCTAAGAACATGGGTCACATTCACTCCTGTGACAAAAGGGAGTCATATTCTTCAAAAACAAAGCATGGAAAGAAATAGGAATTACACTACAATAATTGCCATGCAAAAAACAAGGACAAAGACTTGGATTCAAACTCTATGGATGTAAAATGAAGGCAAACTCATGAATTTCAATCCCCAGCGTGTGCAGCCCCAGCTCCTCTTCCATACAGCTACGAATTCTTGGTCAGGATGGGCTTTCTTGGCCTCCCTGCCATCACTTCCAACAAACCTACGGGTAACTTGCCTTTTTTTCCCCAGTGTTTTCAAGAATATCAATGCACAAACAGTACTATTTTGCAATGGATATCTTACCAGCAATAATGTGGCTCCAAAAGCTAGACAGAAGACCATTGGTCCAGCCAAATCAGTCTCGTTCATGATGCTGCCATCTGCCACTTTTAACGGGTGTAGCACCGTTAGTGTCTTCTGCCAGATGTGGTCAAAATTGATCCCCAATTCTACAAAGCACATTAAAAGAATTATGCTTATTTAGTTCATGTCCCCAGCGTCCTGTCACCCCCATCTGCTTCACTCTCAGCTTTCCTTGTCTTTCCACTTCTAAATCTCCTCCAAACACCATTCTATGGGGACCAGAGACTGGAGTCACTCCACCTTTCCTCGAAGGGCTGACTGCGCTGCCTCCACACCTTCAGCTCCCAAATGCTGGGAAGTGAGAGGGTGGTTTCTAAAGGACCAGGTAAAGGCATAAGCGCAGTGTTTGGGTCAGTCCCCCAGCACCCTGTCCTGTAAGTGGCCAAAAGCAGAGATGTACAAAAGAGTACAAGCACAGAACATGCAGATTCCCCAAGTCTCCAACAACTGGTGGCTCATGGATTTCTAATCCAAAGGAGTTTCTCTGTATTAAATTACCCTCAGCGAGTTTCTTTCATAACCCCCCACTGAGCCCACTAAACAGTTTCTCTGTATTAAATTACCCTCAGTGAGTTTCTCTTTCATAACCCCCCACTGAGCCCACTAAATAAACCACCCACCCCTTTCAACACTCAGTGTCTCATGACAAGGAGTTTCACAGCTCCCTCCACATGGATGATTTCAAGTCAGTCCGCACAGTCTGGCCACAGCGGTGCCTGGAGACCTACTTCCCACCACGGTTCCTCTCTGCCCACCTCTGGCCCTGGGATGCAGCTCCATAAACAAGAGCTTTTTGGAGAAAAGAAGAAAAGCACGGCTGGGTGGAAGGTATCGTGAATACCTGTGGCTCTAACCAGTGACAGTAAGGGTTTCTTCAGTTGTTTGGCGGTGAACAATGACGAGTTAAATAAATGAGTTAAATAAAAAAAAATAACAAGAATTCAAATCAACCATGCACTTTCAGAAGCAGGGAATGCACACCCTGCTACGCAACTCAGCCCCAAACTGGGAAGAGTTTTGGATTCCGGCCATAAAGCATAAGTTATACCTTCTAATAGAGGAGGCTCATCCTCAAAGTTGCTTCCATAAAAAGACTGTGCTGAAGTCGGAGTGTACGTCTGTGTGGGCTGGTAGATCTGCCCCGTGTAAGGCTGCTGCTGCTGCATCATGTCTGGGGGGACAAATCCGCTCTGCTGGGAGTATTCATAGCCTCCATACTGCCTGCACAGAACAGCAGTGTGTTACAGACAGATACACAAGTTTATCTGAAACACCCCCCTGCACCAGCAAAACTTATTTTCAGTAAGTCAGTCACAGCAAACAATCCTGTCTTCTTTTTTAAAAAGTCACATTAGATGATCCCTTACTGGGACCCAGGCCTTTCAGGCACAGAGCCACGTCTGTCAGCTCAAACCCTTACAAACAATACTGTTAAGCTAAACAGGATAATCCCTGCTATATACACAAGTATTGCTTTTTGTTTGTTAAGTCAGAGGCCGGGAGAACTGAGCGTTATCCACTGGCTGAATCACTGCTACAGGCTGTAGACCTGTAAAAGGGCAGGAAAATTTTACACCTCATACTTATTCAAATATTGTCCGTTAATTACTAGTGACATCGTATCTGATGGCAGCATTCATTTGCTATTTAGAATGCTTATTTGCAAACTCAGTACTACAGAATGAAGTTGCTCACGCTATCTATTTTGTACCCCTCCATATTTCAAAAATGAGCTTGTTTTCCCCTTCACGTGGGTGCCCTTGGGCAGCACGATGACCTGTGAGATGGAACTAAACACATTATGACATCTCCCCACAGGACATGACGCAGGGGAAAAAATAGGTGAATTTTCAGTTTCTATTTCACATATTCTCAATTATTTAGTAACCGACTGACTTATACTGTCTGTACAATACTGTCATTATAGACTTTGTAAGTATGAAAATATAAATTTCTACCTTTTAAAGAAAGCCTCATCAAAGCTATCTTCTGTTCCTAAACAAACGCAGAAGTTATTCTTGCCACTAACCATTTCCAAGTCTGACTACAGAGACTTGGGTAAACTTCTTCAAGATATTTAAAAGAAAAGTTAATTTAAAAGAAGGAAAACTCATTACTCCTTCTCCTCTCTTTCCTTGTTTTAGTGGAGCTCAGCTCATCACATCCTTTCCAGGGCACAAACGGGCGTCAACCCGCTCCATCTACCACAGGGATCACACTGGCCACGTAACCAGCCAAAACCCTCAGCCTGAGACTGGAGTCACACAGGACTCCCAGGAGCTCCCCTGACCCAGAAACATCCCCACGCTTCCCTGCTCCAGCCTCGGAACCACACTGACACTGCTGGCTGACTGACTCCCTGAGTGATGGAGATGGACTGACAGCACAGCAGTATCGCTTTGCCCAAAGATGTGAAGGTTACGAATACAATTAAATTACTCATAGAATCATAGAATTGTCTAGGCCGGAAGGGACCTCCAAAGGTCATCTAGTAGGACCTTTCTTTCATTTTTCTACTCTTTGCTTTAAACACAGAAGGCAGAGTATTCAACATATGACTGCTTCACATCTCCGCTTGCAGGACAAGCGATACCCTTCACAAAACTGAATACAATTAAATTACTCATATAACCTTTCTTTCATTTTTCTACTCTTTGCTTTAAACACAGAAGGCAGAGTATTCAACATATGACTGCTTCACATCTCCGCTTGCAGGACAAGCGATACCCTTCACAAAACACAGCAACAGGAATTCCACCACAGGCAGCAGCCGGCTGAAACGCCAGCCCTTTCCTGAACACGGAGCCAGCCCCCGGCGCCCCCCGGCTGAGGCGGTGGCTGAGGCAGCCTGACCGCACGGCATCGCCCGTTCCACTGGCTGCAACGGCAGGCGGGACTCACCTGTTGTACGGCCTCCCGCTGTAATCGTAGGACTGGCTCTGGTCATCGATGCTGTAGCTGGTCTGGAAGAAGTCTGTGTTGAAGCTGTCAAACCCGGACATCGCAAGCGATCTAGAAGAGAAGAGCCGGGTTCGCTGGGGTCTCCGCGCCCACCCGCAACGGCAGCGCTCCAGAGAGACCGAGCGGCCCTGTCCGGCCCGGGGAGCCCTCCCTCGGGGCCGCCGGCAGCCCCCCGAAGGCACAGAGGCCGCGCCGGGATCCCCCCTCCCCGCCGCTCAGCCCCACGGCGGCCCTCACCGCCCGCCTCAGGCCGACCCCCATCGCGCCGAGCGCCGCCACAGCCCCCGGGGCCCCCCGCCCC